AATTTTTCGTATTTTTCCGCATCCAACGAGTGGTCCATTAAGCTGGGGAACCGAACGGTTCCGGAGTTATGAGGAATTGAAGTTTCTGCTCAACGCGTCCCGGTGTATTTTCGCGCGACAAAAAGCCGGATTTGGGTATTATTAAATCAGATCGAATGTCCAAACCGGGCAAAATAAGTTTTCAGAGATTCTTGAGGGCCGCTGAGTTCGGAAATTAAAGATGAGGACTTATATGTAACAAAAGCGGTCGCTGACATCCGCCATTTTTAGGGAAAACGCTTTTTTCGAATTTTGGAGCCCTCAAGAATGCCTGTGTAAAGTTTCAGAATTCCAGCGCAATTTTTCGGCGAGGTATGAACTGAACCATGTTACCATATGAATCACATGAACTGAACCATATGAACCATGTTATTTGTAAAAACAGCGGATATGGAAATCCACTGTTCTCCCCGGCTGGTGCAGCCAGACACGATGGAGATTCGAACGCACTTACGATAACTACCCGTGCACCGGCCATAGGCTGCAGCTGACACTCAAATTATACGTATCAGGACGGTCTCGCCAGAATTGATGAGTTTTTAACGATTTTATAATTTGTTCCTTATTTTTGCTGTAGAAGTTACAGACGGTTTAGTTTTTTATTGAATTGTATTAAATGACTCACCATTGACAAACTTTTGGTTCATTTCAATCGTTTCTCCAACCTTACCCTTCCTGAAGACTTAGTTCCATGCATAAAAAAATGTTTCCAGTAAAAATAGCGGATGTCATATTTTTTTTCAAATCGCTCTTACTCCTTCAATTTTTCACTTATATAGATCGTAAAACGTGTGTTTTTTACAGGAAGAGTTGCTCTTCATAAAATTTTTTTATAAGAATCCTCTCGGTTCTACCGGCGGCTAAGTGCAAAGCTTCGAAAACTTCAAACGCGATTTTCTCACAACGTGAAAACTCGACATCCGCTATTGTTACATTTAAGTCCTCAGGTACTTCCAAAAATTAACGTTATTAAAATTACAGCTCCGTAGCGCTACTTTAGAGGCCCACCGAGCGCCGACTGGCTGCTCAGACTACCATACCTCAGCGTGAGCTCCTTCATGTGTGATATTTACCCTTTATTAAAACATTCTTAAAATTGATAGAATTACCTAGGGTGTTCAAAAAGTATTGCAAGTTTCCGTTTTTTGAGCGAACGAAAACAGCTATTAATTTGCGGTTTGTTTGTGCTTAAAGACGGAGTAAATACCTATAAAACAAGACCAACAACAGCTTTGTAGGTAAAATATTGACTAAGTGACATGTCTTTGAAAATGATATGTTGAGAGAGACCCTCCAGGATTTTTAGCTGCAAATATATTTGTCAAGGAAAAAAAAGTTGAAGGAGAATTGAGCATTTTTATTGAAAAAACTTACAAAATCTTACGAAAATTGACGAACTTTAAAGCTTCTTCATCGGATGACAGGGCTGACTCAACATTCGGCTGTTTTTCTAAGTATTTTCCACCACTTTGAACACAAAGCTTCAACCGTTCTGCCTACTTCAAAAGGATCGTCTTTTCAAAGTCTTCTTGACGGAAGGTTTTGAAGAACTTTTGAACAGCGGTTTTGATCTCTGCTATGAAATCAAACCGGGTACCTCTCAAAAATTTCCTCAACTCAGAAAAGAGTCTTTCCATAGCCGAGATCAAAACTGATGTTCAAAAATTCTTCAAAACCTTCCGTCAAGAAGACTTTGTAAAGACGATCCTCGTGAAGAGGGCAGAACGGCTGAAGCTTTGTGTTCAAAGTGGTGGAAAATACTTTGAAAAACAGCCGAATGTTGAGTCAGCCTTGTCATCCGATTAAGAAGCCTTAAAGTTTGTCAATTTCCGTAAGATTTCGTAAGTTTTTTCGATAAAAACACTCCATTATCCTTCAACTTTTTTTTTTCTTGACAAATACATTTGTAGCTAAAAATCCTGGAGGGTCTCTTTCGACATATCATTTTCAAAAACGTGTCACTTCGACAATTTTTTACCTACAGAGCTGTTGTTGGTATTGTTTTATAGCTATTTACTCCGTCTTTAAGCACACACAACCCGCAAATTGATAGTTGTTTTCGTTCGCTCAAAAAACGGAACCGTCCATTACTTTTAGAACACCCTATGTAAATATTTAAAGTATCTTCCTTTGCAGCCGACATCACTTCTGTCACTTGATATGATGCAGCTGCACTAAAGTAGCAATAGGTATCTGAGGCGCATAAACTGAGGGAACTTCAGGGAACGTTACCAAGAGATCCATATTGTAAGACCTGGATGGCAGTATGATTTTATAGAGACACTGCTAGCTATTTTCTGAAAGAAGTAAAGAAAATGGGTGATTAAAAATAGGTTGATAACCACAAGAAAACCCTTTAGGAATGCTGGAACACTGATGTGCTAAATCTTGCAGAAAAACACATGTGATTTGGCAAAATCGGGACCGCAAGTTCCAGTCCAGCTTTTCTTCTTCCCTTTACGGGTTGCTTCTATTTTTTGCTCTGACATTGGAGTAATAACATCAAATTGGAACAACAAACCCATAAAGCTTGTCGAGAGGAAATGGAAAACAGAAAAAAAGAAATAAAGAAATACCTACCGGGTGTCCGTAAAGTAACTGAAAAGTGGGTATAATTTTGGAACAAAAAAAGATAGAAGGTCGCGGTTTGTGGCATTCTTCATCATGCAAAAACGGAAATTTTTCGATGGGGGGTTGTTCTTGGTGGACCCTCCTGGGGGGCCTCAGGGGGGCGACTTTGAAAATTCAAATGGCAACCCCCATTTTTTTAGACATGATTAAAAAGAACTTATAAAGACAAGAAAAATGGCGCAAAAAAAATTAAAATCGGTTCACTCGTTCAAAAGTTACAGCCGGTCAAAATAAATTGACCACTTTTCAGAAAATCGCCATTGAGCTCCAAATTATCGAAAAAACAAAAACAAACCAGGAATGAAATGTATGAAAAGTGCCTTTTAGGAAAATGGAAAACAACTGACGTTGTCTCAAGTTTGGATGGCACTGATTCAAAATGAAATTTCGGAAAATTCAACGTGGCGGCAAATATGAGGAAACGCGAAAAATGAAAATTCCAGAAACTGTTATCTTTAAAATACCCTTTAGTTAAAGGAAATTAAAGGTATCAACTTTAATTCCTTTATTTGGCCAAGTAAGAGTAATAGTTCGCCGACTTTAAAGTTGGTGTGACTGATCAAGGGAACTTAGCATACTGATTTCAGCTTCGTAAATAGTGTCACCAATCAAATAGTGCATCAGGTGTTACCTAAAAGATCGGTGCCTCAAATCGTGAGGTTGAAACTGTCAATAAGATAATCTCAACTCAGATAATAATCAAGAGTAGAACGGCGTTTTCGGAATTGAAAGCGTAGCAGATATCCTCCCTGCCAATTTGGGGTGCCAGGAGTAAGAGAATTAAAATTATTCTTGGATTTTAAATTTTCACACAGAAAAATGTCAACCGCCCCTACCCCATCAGGATAAACCATGTCTTTTTAGTTCGCCAAGTTAGCGGGGGAAAAATTGCTCAATTTTTCTTTTCTTCTTTTTTATTGTTAAATTTGAGAAGGAGGACCTTGAAAATTTCTAAAGCATCCCAAAGGAGGAGCGCTTTTTCGCATCGGCTTCATTTTTTGACAGCACACTTAATCCTGTGATGTCGCATACTCCAACGATTGAAGGCGTCCCGCTTGACATTGGCAAAAAAAAGAAATTACAGTTGATACCTTTAATTTCCTTTAACTAGAGGGTATTTAAAAGATAACAGTTTCTGGAATTTTCATTTTTCGCGTTTCCTTAAATTTGCCGCCGCGTTGAATTTTCCGAAATTTTATTTTGAAACAGTGCCATCCAAACTCGAGACAACGTCAGTTGTTTTTCATTTTCCTAAAAGGCACTTTTCATACATTTCATTCCTGGTTTGTTTTTGTTTTTTCGATAATTTGGAGCTCAACGGCGATTTTCTGAAAAGTGGTCAATTTATTTTGACCGGCTGTAACTTTTGAACGAGTGAACCGATTTTAATTTTTGTGCGCCATTTTTCTTGTCTTTTTAAGTTCTTTTTAATCATGTCTAAAAAAATGGGGGTTGCCATTTGAATTTTCAAAGTTGCCCCCCTGAGGCCCCCCTAGGAAGGTCCACCAAGAAAAACCCCCCATCGAAAAATTTCCCTTTTTGCATGATAAAGAATGCCACAAACCGCGAACTTCTATCTTTTTTGTTCCAAAATTATACCCACTTTTCAGTTACTTTACGGACACCCGGTATATGCAAAAACAAAAAGAATTTCTGTCATGCAGCAGAGGAACACTCAAGCAATTTCTTTATCTAATTTCAGGACTCAGGCTTCGCATTAGTCCCGAATTCTTCCGAATCACTAATATCAGCACCTAGCATAGAGCTGTAGGTGTAGGTACTGCCTTCTGCACTGTGGCATATCACAATGTTGACGGCATACAAGCAATTTTTTTATCAGTTTCTTTCTTCCTTTCATTCTTGTTTTCATTACCTTTTTTTATTACTTTTCCAAGCCTATTAGGTTTGCTGTTCCGAACTAATGATATGACTCTAATGTTGAAGTACAAAATTAGAGCAACCTCTGAAGGGAGGGTAAAAAGCTGGACTGACAGCATGAGACATGGTCTAACCTTGCCATTCTAATTTTTTCGTATCTAAGGTGTTCGTCTACAGAATTAGGACTACTCATTGGTTTACTTGTCGTTGGGGGCAGCATCTTCAAAGGGGGTTTTCCATGCACCAAACCTAAGGGGCTAAGTCGTTCTTGTCACACTTTCAGCTCCTCATGGTGCATTTTTGTCATAGAGGAAATCACAGACCGATTTCATGGTTGGGATTTTGATACAGTGTGACTCCTGATGTAAATGATTTCCTGATCTGCAGGTTGCACTACTTCTATGGTACATGAATGTAGAGACGTATTGATTTTAATTAAAATAAAAATGGAATAGATTTCAAAATTCACATTTATTGAAGGATTGACATATCTTTCAATTTTTAGAGGAAAAAATGCTTATAAAATCAAATATATCGATTTCGAAAATACTTCAATATTTTATTGAATGGAAACATTTTTCTGATTAATTCAGTCCAAACCTGGGAGTAAAATATGCTAGTCTTTTGGAGGTATGCAACTTTAATTTTCTTACTGTAACTCCCGCCCTAAATTCGTCCGGGGACTTAACTTATGAGAATGACTTTGGGTCAAAAATGAGTAAAAAAAACCTTTCCTGGGTCAATTCCTATTGGCAAGGAACACGTTTCAAAGCTTAAAAAGGCGTTAATCAGCTTATTTGACTGGATAAGAGGCTTGGCTATGTTTTAAAACAAATTAACAACTCTTTTCATTAGCCTGACTGGTAAAAAAGTATTCATGCAGTGATATCACGGGCATGGTCCGAACATATTAATTTTAGTCACAATAAGTAAACAAGTAAAGTTCACAAATAAACGCCGATGGGAGGATGTATGGTGGTCAATTCACCATGTGATGTGACAAAATCTGTTGGCGCAACACTTTTCCATTAATCACGGGCTTAAAATTGACGCGACTTTGAAAGTTTTACTCAGCTGAGATTTAATTGGATACAAAACGGAAAAATGTGGGCACTCTCATGTTGTACCTTCTGTCTGAAAACCAATCCAAAAAACAGATCAACGGCTCTGTTGATTGAACTTGGTTCCGATAAAATATACAGTAACCGAGAAAAAAATTTCCTGTCACCGACATTTGAAAACAAGGTAACTTCTTGTGAGTTGAAATGTTAAAATACCTGACTACTGCACAAAAAGATGTGTATAGTTACAATCAAAAATTAGATAGAACTATCAAATGAAGGAAATTGTCCGGGTAACTCAAGTGCTCACTCATCCACTGGATAGGGGTCTCCTCAGATGGCTCAATTCCTTGAGTCACTATCCTCACTGCAAGAACAAAGAGACACACTTACATTAAGGACCATCAACATATGAAACATCGGTTCAAAAGCTGAACCTTTAATTTAAGATATTAGGGAATAATTATTTTTTTTTGGGGGGGGGGAGGGAGGGAGGATGGGCTGATTTGAATTAAAGGTTGTGTGGGAATAGACCACTAGACAAGATAGGACTTTAAGCATTCTGATACGTGTTTCATTACCAGAATTTCACGGAGAACACGACTCACGCAACGAATTACTGAAACCAACTCCTAACGAAGATATTAACGTTTTCATTCCACATTGATTACGGGGAATTTGAACTGGCCGCTTACAAGAAACTCAAAGCTCTACGCCAGTCAAATCGCACACTACAACGGTTTCAGCAAGCTTCTCGATCGAGTAATAAGTATTCATTTCCCACCATGTGCTGTTCAAACTAAAAGGGGTTTGCTATAACTGATCAAAAGCGTCAAGATTGAGGTTGCCAGATTTTTATAACGCAGAAACTACTTGGACGTAAGATCATGGAGATGAGAAGAAAAAAGCTGCCATTACTAGACGAATTGAAAGAATTAGAAAACTTAAAAAAAGAACTCACTGGTAAAATACAAGAATCCAAAAAGAGAAAATACACAGGACTGCTAAATGAACTCGATGCAGATATTTGGGGTAAAGGTTATAAAATAATTAGACGTCGTCTGAAAAATCCCAGAGCACATGATAAATGCACCCTATCAGAAGAGGAAGTACTGAATGAAATCTCAAAATTACTTCTCAACCACGGAGATGTGATCTGGAGTGAGACGAAAGTAAACAAAGCCGAAATTCCCGAGATAACTGTAGATGAAATGCGACAGGCAATAAAAAAAACTTAAAAATGGAAAAGCTCCAGGTCCTGACAATATCTTACCATTAATTACAAAACTATTTACAGACACAAACCTGAAAAGATTCAAAAAGATGTGTAATACTTTTCTTAGTGAGGGCACTTTCCCTGAGAGGTGGAAAGAGGCAAAACTGATTTTATTCCCAAAAAATAAAAGAGGACAAAAACAAAAGAGATGCAGACTGATATGTCTAATAAACACACTCTCGAAGATAATTGAACGTATTATTGCAAATAGACTAGAAAAATCTTTTACCTTTGATATCGGGCAACACGGGTTCAGAAAGAGAAAATCGACAATAATAGCTATGGAATCAGTTAAAAGAATATACGAATACCATATGAGAAAATCAATAGGCAAAAGAGGGATTTTATGCTTAGTCTCCTTAGATATAAAAAACGCATTTAATGGTATAAGTTAAATAGATTTTATCACTACTCTACATAAAAGAAATATACCGTCCTATCAGATAAAAATTCTAAAATCTTACCTTACAAATAGATATTTAGTGTTTCCTGAGTTTAAAATTTAATTGAACTCCGGCGGAGCACAAGGAAGTATCTTAGGCCCCGTGATATTTCTAATTATTTTTTATGAAATTGTTAGAATAAGACTTACTAACGGAATTGAGAAAAATGTATACGCCAATTATACACTCTTGGCATTTGAATCAGAAGACAAGGCTTCTCTACTAAAAGAAACAGAAAACACCTCCAAATGGCTAAAAAAATACTAAGAAAGAAAAAATTAAGTATGGAAGAAAACAAGACAGAGGCACTGATTCTAGCCGGTAAAAAAGAAGACTCAAACTAAAACAAAAATAGATGAAACAGAAATAGAGGCTAAAGAAATCATGAAATACTTACGTTTTTTCATCACGAAAAATCTAAATTTTAATAAACATCTGGAACTCACATGCAAAAAAAATTGGCCTCCGGCCAATTAATGCGCGGCGCGAGCGCCGCGTACCGGCGCTTCGCGCCGGCATGTGGGGTGGCTTCGCCCCCCATCATGGTGCGAAGATCGCACAAGACTTTTTCGCTTTTGCGGGCGCTCCGCGCCGGCATAGACACTTTCACTGAAATATTTAGGAAAATACTGCCAATTTCACGAAATCATAAATAGTCCAGTACCACATGTACAAATAAGAGGTCCCGTGTGCAGTTTCGTGGGTAAAATTGTTGTGATATGTCATTCTCTTCTTTAGGATGTCTAGAATCAGAATTTCGATGGTGTCAAGTTCAAAAATTGAACCGACGCCCAGAATTCAAGATGGCGTCCAAGATGGCCGCCGCCATGGTGAAAGTTTTAAATTTTGCGGATAGCGTCGAGTCAGATGTCGATTCCTATGTAAAATGACACGAGGAATCCGAATATCA